TTCCGTCGTTGGTATCCAGACCGGTTTCAACCAGAAGTCATTTATTCACCGAAAAGTCAAAACTCGCCTTGTCCATCCACATCCATCTGTTCTCTCAATCATTTCGTTCTTCACATTTTCCTATTCCAGATGCAAGAGCTGGCTGAACGCGCACGACAGATGAATAAAGGGTAAGTGTAAACCGTATTTGGTGTTTTTGTGTTTATGTAGACGGGAGCGAAGCTGGGGGTGGGTGAGTGGGGGTGGGAGTAGGGTATACTTTCCGACGCATCCGTGCAACACACCTGTGCTGCATTTGCGAGCACGTGTACCGGCAATATATGCATGGATTTCTTTTGCCTTGGTCTGGCGAAAACGTAAATGCGATGGGTAATTTGGACAACAGGCGGTGACAGAATCTACGCACACACACACACACACACGCATCATTTGCAGCATTCCGTTCAGAAATCTGTAGCTTGTTCTTATAATGTACTTTTGCAGATCAACTGTAAAAACTGGTCAAAAACTGACGCGAGTGATTCGCTATCACTACACTGACCTAATGGGATTTATGCGTAGTTATAACTCTATTTAAACGTGTAATTCTGATCGCACCTGGCGCATTACATTCTGCCAGGTCACTATACTGTATACCTTCAACCGGTATCCATAGTATTGCATGGAATTTATTCTTGACCCCCCGTCCTCCAACCCTCCGCGGTAACGCCAAAAGCAAATTAGTCTATCTGTCGGTTCTTGTTTCTTCTTAATTGTCACCGATCCCCTTGTTTGTCACTCTTTTCAGTGGGAAGGCCAGAGCGATTCCGAACGAGTTGGACGAACGTGCTGCCAAGTTCAGCGGAATTCCAGTAAGTAGACTTTCCAGGTAGCACAGTGTAGCGCATCGATCAGCTACAAACAGCTACAACTGAGCTACATCAGTTACATTTATGATTTAACAGTAATTAATCTTTAACACGCATTTATCATAACTCTTATCGGTTTAAAGACTCGTCTGACAATTAATTTCATCAAATAACTCTTATTTTCGGTGTGTTTTTTATTCATGGATTAAGTGCATTCTAATCAGTTGGCAAAATGTGCTGAAGTTCATGGTACGATAGTAAATCTGTGTGAAACAATAGGATTAATAGAGGATTAGAGACCGGGGTGGAAAACTAAAAATGGCATGTTCTGCGATGTAGCTCAAATGTAGCCGGCTAGTAGCACACTATTACCCGACCATGTGCTACCTGGGTTGACGTTTTGTTGTGTGCTCGGTCTGTGTTTTGTAAACTTTCGTCACTGTAACAACCCACACTTATGTAGGACGAGGAGAAGTAAATAAATCTGAACTGATGCGACCTGATTGCGGGCGAAGACTGGAATTACCTGCTTCAATTTAGTGAAACTTTTAAAATCTAAATTTCATATTGGTGCGTTTCTGTTTTTGTTTTTGTTTAGCCAATGGTTGTTATGTACAGCCAGTACGAGCGTGTCAAAGATCCCAGATCGTTCAAAGAACGACGTACTGTGTTCGCTGGTGAAAACTATGTGGAAGAATTCCAGAGAATCGCACCCAAACATCAGATTGTCATGACCGACGAGGGTTTCCAAGTCGTATCCGGTGGCGATGGAGACAGTGGCTCGCATGCGGCTCCGGCTGAAGTTGCTGCTGCCGAATAAATGACTCGTATATGAAATCCCATCTTCTATACTCAGCAAGATCTCTCTAAGGTGACCAACAGTTTCGATTTTCTTTTTCTCTTGTTCTGTCAGTGAGACATTTATGCCTCCCATCTCCTGTTTCTCCTTTCTGTTCCTTATCGTGCTCTCTGTCGGTCCTTGAAGCCACCCACCCATATACATACATGCACACATACAAACATCCAGGACACGCGCATTGAATATCTTCTTTTTCACATTGACTATGTGAAAATCGACAGAGCGAGGAGTGTGGTTCAAACACACACGCACGCACGCACGCATTCGAACTTTTATCCCAAATCGATATAAAGAAGCAAGAGAATCATTGTGCATTCAATCAATCCACACCTGCATTTCCCCACCCCCAGACCCAACCCACACAAACACGTTCAGCAAAAAAATTTATTTCGAAGATAGACCTAGTCTCAATTGTGAAAACAACACCTCTTCCCTTTCTCCCTCCTGCCCTCCGTTCTCCATCTGTTGAGGGTCAATCGATTTTGCACGCACGCACGCACTTATGCACCCGCATAAATACACAAGCACAAGCACAATCACAAGCTCACCACCATTGACCCGCCGTCTATCCATATTTTCCATTTATTTCGCTGGAGCTATTTGCTTGTTTGATAGGATCTGTGTAGACGCTCTTGTTTAACTGAATGTCAACACTCGATCGCGGCTTTTTTGAATCCGTGCGAACCAAGTGCGAACCTTGTGGTTGTGGTTGGTTGTTTATGGGAGTGGGTAGATGGTTGAAAGGACTCACGCGCATGTAGCGCTTGTGCGTGTCCAGTGTTGCGGTCTAATCATTTCTCTCTCTCTCTTTACGTCTGTCGTTTTGCCCGTCTGTCTCTGTCCCCCCGTCCGCCCGCCCGCCCGCCTCCTTCGCTCCTCACAGCGTATATATTCGTATTGTGTCTTGTACCCATCCTCCAAAAAAGAACAATCCCAATTCAATCGACTTCCGAGATTTGACTTCGCTACTTTTATCGCTTCATACCGTTTGGGTCTATGTTTACTCTATGAACGCGAACACTCAACTCGTTCACGATAATTTAATCGCGCCCGTAGATTTTCCGCAACCTCTTCGGTGTTTTTCTGCCGCTTCTCAGCCTGCACGAGTGTTCGCTTGTTCGTGCGCGTGTACGCGTGTAGTTTGAGCGCCCCTCGATTCGACTATTTCGAATTCTCGACCTTTAACAACGGACCAAAACCGTTCTTTGAAGTTCTCAGCTTTTCCTGTGCATACCTGTGCGTGCGTTCAAAAAAAGGCAGAAAGAGCGTGAGGCGGACACTATAGTAAAAGACAGACAGATCGTGCGTTTGAATTGGTCTGCAACTTGTCCGATCAGTGCGAATGCCTGTTCAGTCTGGCGAATCACGTGAGGGTGCTCGCGCGTGCGTGCGTGCGTGTGCGTGTGATCAAACTTGCGCGTGTACTTGTTTGTGTCCAGACAAACAAAAATACAAGCTGTAATTCGGTTGTGACGGTCACACCTTTGCACCAATAAATGTCTACCCCAAAAAGAATGTTTTCACTTCCAATCGGCTACTGGCTTGGCAAAATACGAAACATTATCACTCCAGGAAGATGATGCGTTTAGCTTATAGCTGCGCAACTTTTCGAAAGATGTCTAATTTACGCTTTTCGATAGTTGAAGGATTGATACACTGGAGCGCATTGACAGGAAGCAAAAATCAGTGTTCCAGTGCGTGAGAATATGCTCGGTTAATCAAAATGCGAGTTAGACAGACAGCTTTTCGTTTTCGTTATTCGTGTGGTACGCGCGGGTAAAAATTTGAATTTCTAGCGCGTACAACGAACTATTTGACACGGATTTGTCAAGGTCGTCATGGCGACAAAAGTCGCATTGCGCAATATTCTACTACTGAAGCTTATCACGGGAGTTAGAATGTTGGAAATCAATAAAAGCAGTGAATGTATGCCTGAAAATATCTATCCAACCACGATAAAGAACCTTAAGCTTTGGTCCCGCGGGGGAGTAGTATTGCAAAATAACTAACAATGCATACAGCTAAGTTTTATACAAGTTCATTGTTCACATGACAACCCCTGAATATATGTTTCCAGTATGAGAGACCAGAAAAGAATATGAAATTAGAGAATGCCAAGGCGTCGGTCTTGGGTACATTTTAACTTTCGGACTTCACCTTTACATACAATCCTCAGCTCATCGATTCAACCATACACTCGGAAGCACTAGACTTGAGTTTCGCTCTTATTAGAGCCCATCAGTAGTGCATATCCACTGTCCCGTCCGGGATTTGAACTTCGGACCCATCGCACGGAAGGCGTGTGCGTTACCACTGTGCGAACCAGCTCATACCATGGCATACCATGGTATGTTTTAACCATCGGTGGTAACCGCGACCTACTGAGGCGTTCTTATTAATCAGATTACGTCACCCGTTCTGTGCACCCAAAATTTGTTGACGCAATCAGTTCACTTACCGTGTTGAGTTGATCTCCTGTTTTCAATTCTAATAGCCCTTGTCTGTCTGTTGTACGTGTCCGTTCACTAAGATTTACAAATCCAATGTGCTCGATATGAGCTTGTTTGTTTTACGTCAGTGATTGAGAAGATTAAACGAAATGTTATCACATCTCGTGACATGTGCCTTCTTTCGTTTTCTTTTGATGCAATGGACAAGGGGGTCCAGTATCTTTTTAATTTCAACCACCGGCGGGGTAAGAAGACGTATGTAGCGTTTCTTTGATCGACGTTTTCACAACGGCCGGTTGTTTTCCTGGCTACCTCTTCTGCTGCCCTAAGTTTCATGAAAAACCCCTTGTTATGCTCAACGTCGTTATTCAGTTACGGTGGTACAAGCAGCCGGACAGGTACAGTGGCCAATTACATCCACCAGCGCAAGGGTTATTGAAATATTGATGCAACGTCAGGGCGCAAACTTATCAGAACCGGCTAGGTTCAGATAGTTACTAGCCAACGTAGAGCAATTGAGGGGAGAGCACACGAAGGACCATTCTGAACGCGAATTCCGGCTTAACTTTATGGCTTGTGCCTGCTACTTTAATTCGTTTATTATTCAGTACATTAAAAACTGGTCCATTGGAAACACTGAAGCCTCACAAGATGTATCAAGTGGTTTGACGACAGGGGCATCTCGTTTAAATCTTCGCCAACATCAACATTTGTAGACAGTAAAGGTGAAAAGACCGAATTCCAACCACGACGTTAGTGCACATTAGTTTCTGGGTCCCGTAACCCAATACTCTGGAAATCAGAACACACACACACACAAGACAGTGTGTGTGTGTGATCGGAACCGGGTTCACGATTTAATGAATACTCGTGAGACTACATCAATCGATTAAACGATGGCCTAAAACTAGGTCAATCTGGCTCACCTACAAAACGCATTGGAAGGATATTGGTCAGTGTCTGTCATGAGCAACTGTATCACGTGATTGGACGATCAATAGGAACTGATGGACGAATGCACACACAGCAAAAGGGTCTCAACATTCCGATACCTTTTAATTTGACTGACTTACAGTGGCATGAGTGATGGGGATAAGGAACTATTTATTGATCATGGTTAAGGAATTGCGGGATTTGGTTAAACCATGATGGGGACCGATGCAGATTACCAAAAATGGCGCTTCCCTGTGCCTCCTTGGGCAATTTTCATTCATTCGTTGGGATGATTGCTCAGCCGTACTACCGATCTACGTTACACTACAAACGCATCTGAATGGGTAGATGAAGGGGACGTCTTAGACAGTTTGTCTTTAAGGCCCATTCGGATCATGAACGAACCTGCGAGGGCACACAGCAAGCGTCAAACACTTGCTCGAACGATCAGATGTGGCATCTCCTGGAAGAGGTAGGCGGATGAATAGTTTCTTCGTATAAGCCCCGTGGACTGGTTCGGAGTTGTGAATATTTCCTGAGAGCTTCTCCGAATAAACCGTTCAGGATAATCGTTTTCTCTGAGAACGTCCTGAGCATCTGTCAGTCCGTCCTCGAACAAACACATTGTCAAAACAAATTTTGCGCGCTCGTGATATCAGACATTGAATCAAGTTTATTTTATGTCTAAAATAAGAAAGAAGCGATGACAATTTGTATATTGATAACCCCGTCCAAATTTGTCGTCTGTATGTTCAACGTTCTAACGACCTCTCTCTCGTGTCCGGACAAGTGACACGTCTGAGAAGACCAGTTTGTTATTCTGCTTTCAAATTGACGTGAATCGATTCGCGAATCTCATTGACTATTTGGAGCATTCGTGTCGAGTTCGTTTCTTTTGTTGTCGGACTCGTTTGTGTGAGCTCTTCTTTTAACATCGTTTGTTCTAATTTGGCCTGTTGGTGGCTATATGACGATACAGTATCAAAATCAAACATAAATTGGATATTGACTTTGCAACTTAGCAGCAGTTAGTACGAAGTTTTCGTTGCTAATTCGATCGTTACTTGTGCATTCATCAGTGTACGAGCGCAAAATACATTGATGGTTTTTGGTCTTTCATTAGTGATCTTTCCAAAAGTATGCCGATGATGTTGTATTGTGTCACACAGTTTCCTCTTTGCCGGAATTCGATTCATTCAATGCAACTCTATCCCCAACCCACAAGTTTCCAAACAATCTGGTCTTAGTCTGAACGCATCCAACTACCTGGGTTGTATCTTCAGTTTTTCCACTCTCTATTTCCAAAACACTCTGCTACCCGTAACCATAACTCTGTGTGTGTAGATTGACTGACCTCAGTCAAGTATCTGGATGTCATCAGCATCGACAGTTATTTTCACTGGTCCAAACAAATCTACAATTGTATGGTGAAACTGAGACCTCTCTCTTTTCAGCTATGCAAACTCAGGCAATTCCGAATCCCGCAGTCAGTTTTGTTGTCTTCCTTTCACCAATGCGTTTTACCCATTCTACTCTATTGTTCCCCTGTAGTGTTTCCCGGTCCTTTAAAACAAGACT